ACTGTAAATGAAGGAGTGAGTGAATATAACATGTTTTGTTAACTTGTCCGTGGTGGGAAGAGTGTGTATGGACAAAAAACTACTTTTTCGCGTAGTGCGGACTGCGCCAAGCAGTTGGCAGCCTGTTAAAAGGACAAATCTCTAGTTGCTTTCGTCGCCGAGATGTAAGAGTTGCATTGTTGCAAGTGGAGATTTTTGGCGCCGTCTGTCGTTCAAACCTGAATTTTTTCCCAAAGACTCAATGAGTTCTAAATCTTTTTTTTTTGAATAAATTGACGTAGAAGACTAAGTTTCTCAAAATATGTAAATAGATTAACGGTTAACTGCAATTTTCTATGCAAATAAACCAAAATAATGTTGTTACAGACACTTTGATCTTTTCTGTCCCGTGAGATTCAATCTCGCGTATCTCAGCTAAAACTAAAAGTAATCTTTATCGAAAATAGCCAAAAGGTAGTCCACAGTTTGAGAATCATTTTAATAAAAGGAAGTCACAGATCAGTGCTCTTCTTACTGTAAAAAGTGACAACTACTTTTCCAAAACCGAGCTTCGCGCACTAAGTGTCCCGTGAGATTTTCGATTTTCTTTTCCCGAGATCTCCGTTAATACTCTAGTTTTCTCTGTGATTTTCTCACTGTGTTTTTCTCCAATGATGAAGAACCACTGTTACTAGTAAAATGTCCCGTGAGATTTTTTCAAAGTCAAATGTCTTGTGAGATTAAAATGACAATATCTTTATGAATAAAAACGAAAATTTCAACCTATCATACACCATTCGATATCCCGAGAGTTGAAATATTTTCTGAGATGCACACGAAAGTTTTACCATAGGCTTAACGAACTCGGGCTGTCTTGTTACCTGTGCAATTTGCGCTGGTATTGTATCAAGGGGGAAAAGCGAACTCCTATGGGCTCCCATGGACTTCTATGGACTCCTGGAGTCCATTAAGACAGAAAAGACTTCTAAAAGAGTATTTTACAGCAGTTTTCGGTAGTCCAACGCTTTCTTTGCATATATTTTGTGACTGGTCCCATCAGTCAAGATATTATTCTAGCTAGCTCAGTTTGTAGAGAATTTCAGGAGCTATCTAATTGCGTATAGCTAGAAACTTGTATCCTTTTTTGGCAAGATTTTCTCACCAATGACCTTTCGACGTTCAATATCGTCGTGTATACTATATATAAAATGAGTATAAATGCTTTTCTCTTGTAACATAAGCTGAATCTAAAAGATGCATTTTGTTCAGAATTCAATACTCTGTAAAACTACATGTGACCTGGCCGGTAAGTATGTGTTTTTCGAGACACAGACTCCGTCAAGATCCTCTTAAGGACTTCTTGTTCCAAAAAACCCTTTTTGTATGTTGACCATATGTATAATACTCCGTCCGACTCAATTTTGTTCAGAGATTACGAATATGGCGTTAAAAGTGGTTGATAAGTAAATTAGACCAGACAAAAAAATAAGTTTAAGACCAAAATATACCCTATTCTGGTATACTTTTTTCCAGTAAAGATTTTTTTCCATAGACGCAGATACATTTCAGACCTCTACATGAATGTGGCAGATAGAGCTCATACTCATACAGTTTTTGATAAAATTACAATTTGCTTTTGCATATCATTGGGATTTTACAGCTATTTTACTGCGCACATGCACTATGTGTATGATCGATTTTGTTTCATAAATGATCCATTTTCCTAGAACTAGGTTCTATTACACGTTATCGAACTAGTTTGTATAGTTTTCATTGCTCTACAAGCATATGGGTAGGACAACATCTCATTGTATTACATTATCGAATCTCGATTTTTCCTCTTATATCAGTACCGATTTTAGACCTAAAACGTGGTAACACCCATATCTCGGTAACCAGAAGATATTAACCCAATCTCAATACAGATTTAGATCCGCCGAGAGAAGCTCAACAAAACCTGAGATATAGCTTTCTGGTTCGACATACTTTTGAAATTCGACAGGGTTCTTTGTCTTTGCTTATGGAAAGATAGCCTCAAGTCTTGGCCATCCAACGGTGGAAACCGCAAGTCTGTGTCTTTTATTCCGCTAGAGTTATTCAAATAATAGTGAGAAAGGGAGGCCACACATAGCTATGTTAAACAAAAAACTGAATTTTAAGAGAACCAAGAGACTGACAGTCGGGAAACTTTCTTTTCCTTAATAACCAATGTTAGCATTATATAACCTAACCACGGAAAAAAGATCTCATTCGAGTTTATTTTTTTCGAAATTTTCACTCACATCGTACAATACAAGGGGGAAAAGTCGACTTCAAAAGCCGACGGAGTCCAAAGTAGTCCACGGAAGCCCAAGTCCTTGGGAGACTGTGTGTGACTTTAAATTTTACGTTGTCTAATATTTGGATTGTGCTAATTCTTATTTCTTATTATTATTTCTAATTCCACAGAGAACAGAAAATGAGATGAATTCTTTTTATTCTTTTTTGCTTGTTTCAATTACTCGTGATAATGTATCTGTTGGTATGCGATAATTTTTGTCTGTTAATAACCAGATTGCTGACTGTTTATGTAAGTATTTATCAGCGATTCTGAAATTCCGATTCCGCATCGATTCTGAAAGTCCCAACTTTCTATCTGTAGCGGATTAAAAGCTGACAATTTTTTAATGGTTAGGAGTTACTGCGATAGAGGATCACAAAAAATGGCGTTTTCCTACCTTTTATGCACTTTCCTCAAAAAACTTGGTTTATTTTGATAATGGCTAAAATGCCGATGGTGGCTCCAAATTATAGTACAAGTTGCCATTTTCTCAACGACTCAATATCACCGTAAGGTAGAACGTTGTAATCTTCAATAATCAAAAGCAGACATCTGAGGTTAGTCTTTCAGAACCAAAGGTGGTTGTTCAAAAATTTCCTGAAACCGATTTTTCAACGGGTCTTTGGAAAACCAGTTTAGATCTCTAAAAGCGGACATTGAAATAGGTCAATTGTTTTCATAGATATATAGTTCGCGGTGTCCTCCAGAAACCTGATCCAAGCAACATCTCGGAAATCCATGATTCGGGAATTACGGGCGTTTTTCTCGAACTCTTAGGACTTCTCTGCCGTTAGGATTCTGCGCGACTGTAGTAGAAAACTCACAGAAAGTGCGCAGGATTTCTGGTGGAGCATCGTCATCACGATGATTTATTCTAAAACATTTGATGATCATTTGGTACATTTAGAACAAGTGTTAAATTCATTGGATCAGTAGAATTTCCGTCTAGATGTTAGAAAATCAGAAATCGCAAAGACGTAAAATTGGATTTTTGGGTCATCAAGTCAAGACAGGACACATTAAACTCAATCCGGAGAATATTCGAGCATTGATGGAAACACAAATACCGACAACAGAAGAAGAAACTTGTAGATTTCTTAAGGGCGGCGAATATTATCGTAATGATGGATTATTGATACCACTTTCATAACCGTTTGTCATACACTGATTTTCAAACACTGTCTGAGCTTTAGAGCCGCAAATTAAGCATGTTTAGAAGGAAAAACATTCTTCAGTGCTCAATCTCTTTTCTGCTTATATACACCTTCAACAGGCGCTTATGATTTAATTGTTAGAGCATCTTTTTATGTTCGTATTTCCAACAAGTTTTGTTGACACGGCTAGATAACTATAAAATATTTTACCATGCTCTTTTATAGTGTTACAGGTGCTACCTCGGCGACAATTTCTTAGCAGGGAAAAGGTCCATTTTCTTTAAGGGTCAGAAACTAGGTAGGAATCAAAATAGATAAAAAGGCGACATTTGTTACCTCGGGCGTGGTTTATCACAATTAACAATTTCTGAAGTTTCGTCGAAAACTGGTGTAAAAAAAGTTCTTTGTGCTACATGGAGACAATTTCGGAGACAAGTAAATGGCTACAGT